CCGCCTCCCCACCCCATCTGTCCTCCAGGCAAGACTCTTGATGCTGCTGATAGTTTCTGCTGGAAATGTTGGAGACAGACTCAGTCACTGCTGGTGCGTTCCTTTCATCTTTCAGCTTTCTCTGTAGTTTACCACATTTCCTTCTGAATTGTCTTCTGACCTGAATCCAGGTCACTGGGGGAAGGCTAGGCTGTGTAAGGCGGAGGACAGTCCTCTTTATGGGTGCCATTTCCCAGAGCCGCTGGAAAGGTTTCTTCAGTTGTGGCAGCTTTGTAGGTCATTTTTGTTTTATCTGTCAAGTTGAAAAGAGTTATGGGTGGGGTAGGAGAATGAGAGAATAGTAAATATAAAGCTTGTTCAATTTGGAAGACAAAACCATTTTACCCCTAGGGTGGGCTCTGTTTTTTTCATCTCTTGACCATCTCTCCTCCCATGTTTTAATTCTGAGAAAGGATTTGCTTTTCCTCAACATACCGAACGGTAATATTAGTAACAAAAGGTCTAATTAGCAGAATAGTGACTCTCTGGGACTCCATGTCCAACTTCGTTGTACATGCAATTCAATAGGGGAGTTGAATTTAAGTGAAGTTGTTGACTGCATTTGGGGAGCAAGCAGCGGTCAGGGAGAAAAGAACTTTAGGGAAGTGTTCTAAGGGGGTTCCCATGCCTCTCCCTTCCCCCATTTGGTTTAGTTTACATTTCCAGGCTGCATGGCTGTCGTGAGGAGCTGTGAAGATAGGGTCTACCTTTCCGGTTCTCCCATCTCTGTAGAAGGGTACAGATATCAAAACCATTAAAACTTGGCAGATTCTTCATCCTGACTATTGCTGCTTGGGTCCTTATGGTCCATTAGGTCCAAAAGTAAGGTGCTTTCACGTAGTTCTGTCCTAGGGGTCTTCTGAAGTGCATTGTGAGTGAAGTTCATTTTAGGTCTTGAGAGCCAAATACCCATACTTAGAGCATGGCCCCATGAGGGCACTCCGGACCTTTCTGGGACTAAGACTGGGAACCTGATGGGTTGTAGAAACTTTTCTTCCCTCTTGCATTTTTTTTGGTAAGAGGGTGGAGACTTCAGGGGCAACAGATTTCTGAGTTGCTCTTGGATAAGCATCAAACTAGATTTTCTACAGCTCTACTATAGTTCGAACCAAAACTTATAAAATGGTTCTGAAGTATAATCCTCTATTTCTTTTTGACTGCTTGATACCAAGATTGCATCTTAATTCATTGTAAATCTGCATTTGCCTACTATAAGATAATTTCACCAGGGAAGCTGCTTCCTTCTTTTAGGGTGTAAACCAGTCCCCTGGGCCTAGAAAAGGTTTTGAAGGGGCCCTCAATTAAATTCGTGGGAATAAGAGTTGAGGGTTTGAGTGATTAGAAATATACTGATGTTTAGAATATAAAATGCTGAAATGTTATCAAGTAAGGTTGTTTCCTGGTTTGGAAAAAAATATGTAGGGTTAAAGTCTGCTTTGAGGAAGGGACTCTGAGCTTTCTTGAGTTTTGATTATGTTTGGAAGAGAATGAAATGATCTGAGCCTCTTAGAAAATAGGTGCTAATTGGCTAGGAAGTTTATTAACCCAGTAGTAATCAGATTAAGGTATAAAGCAAATCAGACCAGATTGTGAAAGCGATTGTTCAGTAAGCTTACTTAAGTTTTCTTTACTGTGTAACCAGAATTGGGATCCTCTGTTTTGGATTCAGGGTTATCAGGCTGCATTACTTGAATGCTTTCCCTCTTGTAGGGGTGCCAGTGGTGCTGGGACTCTGACTTGGTTCTAAGACATGAGAACCTACAGTCCAAATTTCCTGAACTCTTGTGAATAGGGCCTTTCACAGAACTGATGTCTCACAACTATCTGTTGGCCAAAATGGTTCTGTCCTGTGTTCTCATCCTGAGCCCTATACATGATTTCCTCTGTGAAAGCAGCCCAAATTACCCATGAGGCAAACTCCACCCAAAACTGCAGTGAGTGAAGTAGCCTTGGCTCTTTGAGGCCCTTCGTACTTTTTTTTTATATATACATTTTTATTGATTTCATTGATTTCAGAGAGGAAGGAAGAGGGAGAGATAGATAGAAACATCAGTGACTAGAGAGAATCATTGATTGGCTGCCTCCCGCATGCCCCCCACTGGGGATTGAGCCTGCAACCCAGGCATGTACCCTTGACCGAAATCGAACCCAGGACGCTTCAGTCCGCAGGCCAACGCTCTATCCACCAAGCCAAACAGGCTAACCCCTTAATACTTCTTGTTGCTACCTGGTTTCTAGTGACTTGATAGTTACAGCCCCATCTAACAGGTCCTTGCCGGAAGCTTGTTTTTCTCCAATATGTGAGATCTCCAAGGGGAATAATTCAGTACTCACTGTTGGAAGGCTTGATTTTCTCGTAGCACCGAAAGATGACAATGAGGAGAAGCCCCTCTCCAAGCTGGCAAATCATGTAGAGGAGAGGAAAGAAGAAAAGTGGTCCGATGACTTCAGGGGGGAAGGTCACATTGAGGATGGTGGAGCAGAGTTGAATATTTTGGCATCCAGTCTCCATGCTGACAGTGCGCCTGCATCTGTGTAGGTTACAAAACAACCACCCCATATGCCCTGACGGAAGAGGCATGAGTGTACAGCCTCACTTCCCTATCTTCTCCCCCCTGATATTTTAACAGTCTGAGACAGGAAGTGTGCCAGGGAGTGGAGTGCACATGGTTTCAGGAAAAGGGGAGTTGACACATGTTAAAATCACCAATCCAGCCTTGTGGAAGTGGGTTCATGAAGGGAGTGTTTATGAGATCACTTTTTATTGTCTTGGAAATGGATGATTTGTCCACTTTTGTAGGGTTACTACATTAAACTTTGGAGAAACGTCCAGCTGGTGAGGGAGGAAAGGAAGGTGTGAGCCAGTATCAATCATTGGCTTGTTAAATTGGACTTACAGGACAATTAAAATTTTTAACATATAGTAGAGGATTGAAATGCCTGAAGATCTTGTCCTGTTTCCAAGTTTCTGGCTTTGCTACCTTTAACTCTAAAACATGATGATTAAAAAAACATACTTGATTCAGCCACATTTATCATTGGAACACAATCTCAGCTTTGCTTCCCATTTTATGAATTAGAGAATGGGATGTTTACATTTAATAAACGTATGTCTAATTCATTGAATTGTAATTAATGTATTAAAATAATTGTTATTCACTAAAACCCCTGAGAGCTGTCTCAGCATATGAGGAAGGCTGCTCTGGCGGTACTTGATGCTGTGAGCTGGAGCCGTATATGATCCATACCACTCTGTCGTGAAAGTTGTCAAGTGGTCATTGGCAGTCTTTTGACACTACTGTATCACCATGTGTTATATCCTGTACTAATTTGGTCTTTATTAGCATGTTTTTAAAAATGGATGATTATTTTTAAAAAATTATTAAAATTTTTTTTAAAAAATTACAATTGATATTCATTATTTTATTCTAGAGGCCTGGTGCACGAAAATTTATGCACTCAGGGGGTCCCTCAGCCTGGACTGTGCCCTCACACAGTCCAGGACCCCTTGGGGGATGTCCAACTGATGGCTTAGGCCCGCCCCCCCGAGCACTGCTGGAAAGGCTCCCTCCACTGCTGCTGCGCTGGCCAGCCATGAGCTGGCTTCTGGCTGAGCAGCACTCCCCCTGTGGCAGTGCAATGATCACCAGGGGGCAGCTCCTGCATTTAGTGTGTGCCCCCTGGTGGTCAGTGCACATCATAGCGACTGGTTGTTCTCAGCTGTTAGGGTCATTTTGCATATTACTCTTTTATTATATAGGATTTATTATATAGGATTAGTTTCAGGTGTACAGCATAGTGGTTAGACAATTACATAATTTACAAAGTGATCCCTTGATAATTTTAGGATTCACCTGGCCCCATATGTAGTTACTGCAATATTACTGACTATATTCGTTAGGCTATACTTTACATCCCCATGACTATTTTGTAACTACCAATTTGTACTTCTTAATCCTTTTCCCCTTTTTACCCAGCTCCCCAACCCCACCTCCTACTGGGAACTCCCAACTTGTTTTCTGTACGAGTAATTATTTTAAAATTTTTTTTTTAAAACAAGTTTTTTGAGGTGGGGGGCGAGAGTGCTAGAGTGCTACTAATGTAAACTCCTGCATAAACATTTGTCTACTATGCTTGAAAAGAGCAAAAGTTCTGGACATGCACTGCTTTGTATAGACAGGGTGCCTGATGTTCCCATTCCAGGCTTTCAAAGTTACCTATTCCCTTAAAGTAGCAGCTGTTTGTGAATTGGATTAGACTCTAGCCGAGGTCCCTGCTATGTTAGTTCTGAGTGCCATTTAGCAGACCTGTCACTTGCTGGTGTTCTTGTCAAAGGAAAAAAGGAGGAAATGTGGAAGGGGAAGAATATGATCAACATTTGTCATAATGACACAGAGATACCCCAGTGCCGGTTAGCTACCAGGGAGTTGGGCAGGAGATGGAATCTAGCCTCCGGAGGGAGCCATGAGTTGCTGCTCTTTGAATGATTAGAGAGATGCTGTTGGTCTCTGGAGTAATGTTTCTACCCATTCAATACCTTCCCAATATTTCAGTCCAAAGTCCCTTGTTCAGTTGATGCATTTGAATATATTGCTGGCGAAATGCCTTCCGCAGGTCTCAGATCTCCTCATCCTTTTCCTGAGACCAGGACAAAAATGAGGCCCACAGAACAGTGAGACCTAAAGTAATACTTACTGTTCATTGAGGCGGAAGACAGCAGAGAGAATGTAGCCTAGCAGGAAGCCGATGAAGGGCATCAAGGAGGAGGTGGCCCACAGGTGGGGTGTCATGACAAACATGATGCTCTTGCCCACATTGATGACAGAGAGCACTGTGATGGCCACACTGAGCAAAAGCATGATGACCATTCCTCCCTGTGAATGAGGACGAGAAAAAGCCATTAGAGGGGGGCTGGGGATAGGGAGAAGCAGAGAGGCATGGTGAAGCCCAGGTGGGCATTGGAGGTGAAAGACATTCATTTTAATTTTTGAAAATTGGTATTTGAAGTGGGAGGGAATACAAAGACCTTTGTTTTCCATGTTTTTGGGATTCTTTTCAGTGGTTAGGAAGCTTCTTGGAGGACAGAGACCCAATTTACACTTGTTACTAAAGACTAAGGCAAGTGCAGCATCTGCTTGACATCTCTGGATAGCAGATTTTCAGTAAGTGGCTCTGAAGGAATGAGACTGTTGAGTCCTCCTGCAAAGTGGTTCTTGTAAATTAAAAATTCTTTTGCAAAGTCATTAACTGCTTGTGTACACAATCCAACAATACTGCCATTGCTTCAAATAGTTTGGAACTTAATCGATGTTATTCTTAGAACCTGTCCTACTTGTCTCAAATCCCTCTTTTATGGGTAAGGACCTCATACGTTCCAGGATGAATTTGACTCTTGGAAGTTGCCAAGAATCATTTGAAGTGAAGCTGATAAGCAAATTGGATGATCAAGCCAATGTGGGTTTAGATCCCAAATGTAAAGAGAGGTGCCTTTCTTGAGTGACCTCCAAATTGGTTACAAAAGAGAGTTTCAGACATATCTTGGGTAATAATGGCATCATAGAAACAATGCAGGTGTCCACCTAATCTCAGGCAAGTGCTGTGAAAGCAACATTTATTGCCCTTAGTAGTTACTATTAAATATGTTAATATTTAATATGAAAGCAATGTTGAGTTTTATTAAAATTTTTTATAGTTGCATCTTAATACAATTTTCAATTTTCAGTAGATTTATAATGAAATTACAATGTTAAGATTTTTCACAGGTGACATAGGATGCAAACTTTCAAAGTGCATTTTCTTGTTTGCATTATGGAGTAAGACACACTCCAAATGATAAAATATATGCGCAGATTTAACGCTCTTTGTCTTGCTCATCGTTTGAGTAAAGATACATAAGTATATACACATAGCAAATGTAATGATTATATGTGTTGGTTCAGCTTTCAGTTCATTCACATGTGTAATATTTGATATCCCTAGTACTATTTTAAAAAAAGTCCTAAATTATAACACAGAAGTTGCCATTTTAACCATTTTTTAGTGTGCAATTCAATGGCACTAATTAGATCCACAAGGTTGTCTTGGTAGTATTTTAAAACTTATTTTCCTCAAATTTCAACTGCAGTTTTGCATTTCTATGTTTTTAAAATCCATATTCCAACTGATGTGGTCATATAAAATATCACCTGTACCAACCAGTTCCTATCCCAGGATAGGAAGGAATTTCACAGATTTCATCAATAACCGCATGCCTCAGATTTTATTACATGACTTCACTGATGAGCTGCTCAGTTTGCTCTTGAAGTTTGAATTATTTTTCTTTTTGGATTCCTGTCCTTCGTTGCTTTCTACCGAATGACCAAATAGTTTTTGACCCCATCAAAAGAGTGTAGTGGATAATGGGAGGGGCAGGGCATTGGGCTACAGGAATTGCCCCATGAATCCGGCAGACCTTTTTCTCTGTGTGCATTTACTCTTGTGCTCTCACTTGATCGGTCTCCCACTCTTGGAGGCTGCAGAGTGGTT